TGATTTTTCGTTTATAACCGTCGAAAACTTTTGTTTCATTACCTAATCTCTGAATGTTTTTTTTTTTTTGTGATTTTTTACGTATGTGATCTTGTAGTATCTACAAACAAGTTTGACAGTTAGATTATAGAAACTAGTTTCGTAGAATGCATATCTCCGTTAAATTTCCCTAAATTTTGAAGTGGAAAAAGTAATTTGTGGTAAATTTGTATTTATGTTTTTCAAGTATTGATTAGACAATATTTAGTTTATGTGATGACACTTTCATTGTACAATTATCTTTTTGTTTCTTTGCCGCATATTTTACATGGGTTATTATCTATTAAACCAAACAATTATTTATTTAATTTCTAAAAACGTTCTATTTAAATACATATTATTTATTTATTTATTATACCAAACAATTATTATTTTATTTTTAAAATCGTAACAAAATTTTAGGGGGATTTTTACCGCCATTTTTTTCTGTCGATTATAACCGACAATAATAAAAATTTTATGTTGATTTTATTTTAAAAAGTATTTTTGTCGGTTTTAACCGACAATAATAAAAATTTTCTAAAATAAAACCCCTCCATCTCTTCGTTGCGCCTTCTCCCTTCGGCCTTCCTTCCTTCATTTCCTTCTCTTACTCTTCTCTCCTCATTTACTGTCCGCATCTCTAGTCTCCTCTTTCATCACAACAGAGTCAAGAAAATGTTCGGAGTCGTCTTCTGGAATCGCAGCTTCCCAATGGACATCCCTTCATTCTCATAGATCGATACCTTCCATTGGATTCTCGACATGAACACCTTCGTCTGTAGATTTCCCTATTTTCCCTTTTTTTTCCAATTTTTTCTTTTACGGCGCAATTTATCATTCTAACGTATGGTTCTAATGTGCGTAGGGGAGGTATACGACCAAGTTCGCGAGCTCTGCATATTTCTCTGAAACAACTTCACACTCCCGTCGGACAAAGCCCTAGCCGTCTACATCCAGTCCCTGGGCTCTGGCTTATTCTTCTGTGGCACCATCACTGTGGCTAGGCCGTCGACGGTCCTTGCTCTTACGTAGCCCAAGCGGCACCGCTGTCGGCCAAAATCGGTGTGTCGGTAGAGGACCTGGCAACACTGTCGTCGTTGGACGTCACCGCTGAGAAGTGAATTGAGAGGTTGATGATGAAAGTTGGGGAGAATCTGTTCAATTTTATGCAGTCGTTTTGCGGCGTGGATGGGAGCAAGCTGGTGGTGCCGATGGATATCTTGCACCGGTGGTTTGACAAGTTTCAGGAGAGGGCTAAGCGCGATCCTGAGTACTTGAAAGGCTTCGCTTTGTAATTTTGTAAGCTCTGCTCTGTCTCTCTCTTTTTCCTTTTTTTTGTTTATTTATTTTTATTTCGTTTAGTTGAATTTCTCAGTTTGTAATTGTAGTGTGTTTATGATAATTACTACTTGATTTTTGGGGGTTTTTGCCCAATCCAATTCCAATGTAGTAAATGTTAGGTAGAACATAATTTGCGAATGCTTATCTATTTCAAGAGTTGAGGCAGGAAGCCAAAAACATGCAACCAGTTACAGTCGACTAACCTTAAGTACTCCAAGGCTCTCCGTGTGATAAGGGGAGGGAAAATGAATGGTCATTGTGTAGGCGGTCCATTGTTCCAAAAGCCTAAATAACTAGCATACTGAGGTTACATTGATACAAAGCCACTCTGGCTGCAACGATTCTTGTTCTAAGACTAATGCGTTCATAAAATCAAAGCAAATTAAAGTCTAGGAATCACAGCTGGAAGTAAAGTCAGTTACTGGACGAAGAAGCATACATTTCGTATCCGTCCTAAAGAAGCATCAAATAAAAGCATGCGTTCTGAGAATGGTTCGCCAACTCCACTTGCAATCTTAATATATTTATTAATAAAAGCATGTATCAATATATTTTTTTTATTATTAATATATTTTCTGTCAGTTTTATCCGACAATAATGTTTTTATTTATTTATTATTAATATATTTTCTGTCGGTTTTAGCCGACATAGAATGCTCTTATTTCTTCATTATTAATATATTCTCTGTCGGTTATATTCGACACAATTTCTGTTGGTTTTAGAGTATTTTTTGTCGAAAAATTCATTTCCTGAAGTTGACAATTCGGTAGCTTATTAAATTCGCCACTACATCCATTTTCTGTCGGATTTTCAGCAAAATCTGACAGTAATATACGTTTCTTGTCGGTTATTATAGCGACACTAATAAATGGTTTCATAGTAGTGTAAGTGTTTGTTAAATCTATCAATTTGATAGGATATGCATTCTACGAAACTAGTTTCAACGATCTAACCGTCAAATATGTTTGTATATACTCCGAGATAGCATGTGTAAAAAATCGCAAAAAGAAAACATTAAGAGATTAGGTAACGGGACCATGAGTAAAAAAAACATTAAGAGATTATTCTGGCCGTTGCAATGCGAAGATAATTTGTTCATCAGCAATCATTCTAATTTGAAAAGGCGAAATATACATAACAGTGATTTACTACCAATCCTCTTGTAATTAGTTGTCTAATAGTGTAAATAAGCTCTTGTTTATGCTCATAACTGTCATAATACTAAAATAATAGCTACCAGAAACTGAAATAATAAAATAGTCAATTTCTGTCGGTTAGAACCACCATCATCAACTTAAAAACAGTCGGAATATGTTAAAAATATTTAAAAAAAAAGAATTCAAAAATACTGGTGGTTATAATAATTTTATGGCGGTTGCATCAGACACTAAATATTCGTCAAGAATTTATGTCGAATATAACCGACAGGATTTCATTGTTATCCAACATTAACTGAATGATGTGTCTCATATCTTTTATCTGACATAATGACTTATTAAACCGCCACTATCACCTGACACCTAAAGCTAATATTGTAGTAGTGTGAGAGACGAAGAAAAACTCTTCGTCGCGCAAAATGAAGATTGTGCGACGAAATTGGTGGTCGTTGCGCGTACCGAGCGACGAAACTGGGTTTCGATCCCCAAGCTCTTGAGCGGCAAACATACAGGTTCGACCCACAAACTCCTGCGCGAATATGGAGGCCATCACAGTAAGATTTTAAAATTGGTTTTTTAAATAATTTTTTATTTATTTAATTATTTTTTTTCTTTTACATGTTGCTAATATTGTTTTATGTAAAAATGAATTTAATGAAATTAAAAATAAAAAATGTAAAGAAGAATATTGAATTAAAAAATTATTGTAAATTTACATACAATGGAAAAAAGTATTTTTAAATTTGAAAACAATTTAAAACAAAACTAAAAAAGGTAGTCGTCGACGTCACAATCACCGACTAGTGGTGTTGCTACTGCGCTGGGGGGCTGGGAGGTCGTTTCTGGAGGTGGTTCAATGTCGGGGAAGTGAATGCCATAGATTTGACGTGCACGACGTATTTGGTTTATCAAATTATTTTGGGCCGCAATCTGAGACTGCTGGGCCGCAATCGTCTCCTTTAGGTCCACCACTTTAGATATCAGCGTTTCGACATCTTCAGTTCTTTGCTTGGAGGATGAGGCAGACGAGTCCCGACGGCAAGCTTTCCTAAGCCCCCGGTGAACATTCCCATGCTGACGACCGAGGGTCTGATCAAGTGTGTCTGTCATGATCTGAAACCCAGCATCCTTGATGAGTAGATTTTATATTATATATCTTACCCTAATCTTAGTATATTTTGGTTAATATTTTAGAAGAATTTTGATACTTTGAATTGTATTTTCAATATAGGACTTTCGACTTCCTCTGGAGCAAAACAGGACCAAACGGATGAATTTTGGAGTAATTCCAGTTGAAGGACGTTCGTGAGTCACTTAGCTTGATCGTATCAAAATTTGGGATTTTTTCACCTAGCGGTTATTTTCTGGCGATGGAATAAAGAAGCAGTGCGCAGTGCTGGAAAATGATGTTTCTGAGCTTAAATTGCGTTTTTAGAGCCCAAGATGACCTCAGATGGGTTCGTGGCCTTCTGGAGAAGTGTTCAGAATATTCCAAACATTAAATCCAGCTATATTGGGCCAGTTTTGGAGTAGCTTATGGGTCCAAAACGTGGCTGTTCAGATTTTAGGGGAATTTTACCATTTAATTTAGGGTTATGTTTCTATTTTTATTGGTTTTTTTATTAATTTTAGTTTCCTAGGGTTTGTGTGGGGCTTAGCAGATATATTGCTTGGCCGTCTACAATTTTGAGGTACGCTTTATTTTATGCAATTTTGGAGACAGATAGAAGGGCTAGGGTTTTGGAGATTTTTTACTTGAAGGTGTTTTCAATCATTTTCTTAATAATATTTTCTATGATTTTAATTATGAATATGCGTAACTAATTTCTATTGCTAGGGCGAAGCCTTGAGTCTTAGCATGAATATGTGATTTTTATTTAATTGCTTATGATTGATTGCATGCATACTTTGAATTGTTAATCACCGAGATAAAAACTATCTAATTGTTTTAATGCCTGATCACCATTAGGATCTTTAGAAAAGTAATTTGATGCAATTTTGGTCGGAAGGTTCTCTGAAATTGACGCTGGCTTCTTGTGATTAATAATTGTAATTTCATTTAGGGTGAATACCACGTCTTAAGGATTGCATGGTTTTTCAAAGGATTTTCATAAAGGATAATGAGTCTTTCATGTTCAGATTTGATCCGAACGTCCGGACGAGTTGCATGTTAGATATATATTCTATGTTGGTGGTTACAAGTAGAATATGAATTAGGAAAATCTAACCTTCAAAGTGGCATGTGTAGATCATAAGTAATTGGTAAAAGTTCATAGGATTGCTAGGTGATGGTGGAACCCTAGTGCTTTCTTAATTTGATTCTTCCAAAACTGTTTTCTTTTTCCCCCAGTTCTAATATTGCAGATTGTTTGTTTTAATTAATTAATTTCATTTTTAATTTAAGTAGGTTATAAAATCAATCACCTCAATTTCTACTTTACAATAATTAATTAAAATTTGATTAGTTTCGAATTATTTAATAATCCCTGTGGAGAACGACCTTGCGAGATCCGTTTATACTACAATAACCTTGTGATTCTTGCAAGTATTATAGGAGTTTTTAGCCCGTTCACATGAATAGTAAAATCCCTACCAATCCTCAAGGGGAAACACCTCCTCAATTGAGGTCTATAGGGGAAGCTCGGAAGCCACTTTCTCCATAACGGTCTGGCCCTTTTACACCATGGTGGACTAGAAAATTGAAAAAAAAAAACAAATTAATTTGAATATACATGTAATTAATATTAATACTAATTCAATATTAAAAAATTGAAATAACTTACATGAAGCTGCTTCGTCAACTCATCCCCAGGCCGAACGTACACCTCCTTGAACATGTCAATTTCAAGAAACTTTGACCCCTCCTAAAAAAATTTAAAAAGTGTTAACATAGATTACCAATTGTGTAATAAAGAGTAAAAAGATTGAAAACTTAAAATAAATATACGATTACCTTACGTCACTCCTCCAACATATAAGAGAAGCGTCGTGAGCTGGATAGGTAAAGAAGTTACTTCTTCGATCGATTGATCGAGTTTGCCCTCATTTTTGTTTTGTTGAATTAAAAAAACGTATTAGTTTAGATATTTATAACAAATGAATGAAAAAAGGAAAATTTTATTAAAATTGTAATTTTTTATTAATATATTATTGAAATATATATTATACATACCATGTATTTCTCATCTTGAAAATAGATGAAGAGCTACTGCCATTCATTCTGATGGTCCACCAACTCTATAGGGCACCCAACTTCTAGAGCGACCTCTTGACCGCCATATAGCTCATAATGCTTGTGGAGGTCACTCTTCCATTGAGTGAACCTACCAGAGCAAAGGTCGTTGATGTACTTCATTTGATTATTGAAGTTGGAGAGCTCATAGTTATGCTGCAAAACTCAACAAATAAATAGTAGTTAAAATTTATAATCTTTGTATACTTTAATACAAATTTAGTATTTAAGGTTGAAAATACTTACCGATAATTCATGAAGAACGGCTTCCTTCACTTCTTGTGGGACAACTCTCTATGACTCCCACTTGAGGGGGCAATGGTTCCTGATAACTGATGACACACCCCGACCCAGAATGTCCACTAGGACTCCGAATCGAGTTGTGCTGGCTGACATCTGGAAGGTGACAAAGCCATAAAGTATGATGATGTGGAAAAATGTGAATAAATTTAAACCTAAAAGTGCCTAAATACAAGAGTGTGCCATGAGCGGGAATGAACCCATTTCACACGTGACGTTAGAGCATAAGTAAAGTACAGTAAGGTGGATTGAAATTCATACCATCGAAGGTAATCTCCAATAGCAAAACTTGCCACAAATCCTCGTCAATACGAAAGCTCTGCTACTAGACCTGGAGGGATAAAAACAAGAGTGAGTGGCCAGAAAAATAAAGTTTTAATAAAGACCTTCTAAACGATATAGTCCCTCACTGTAACACCTGTTTAGCTTCCAGGAAATCATTGATGTGAAATTTAACTAACACACAAATTAAACCCTATTAAGATAGCTGTAGTATATGAAAGTAGGGATCGTTCTAGGCCGGGGAAAAACTAGGGATGCTAATCAACACAAAAGAAACTCATAAACACAAAACTAGACTCTAAAATAGAAAACTAGACTAAAACTACTCAAAATAGACTAAACTGACTTAAAACACACAAACTAAGTTAAATTGACTCAAAATAAGAACTAGAATGTAATTTGGACAAAAATTGAACTAGAAAGACTCAAAACACTAAAAAGAACCTAGTTTGGACAGATTCTGACCTAAAAACACTAAATAGAAAAAGGGGTTTGTTTTTGACGAATTTAAGACTAGAACTAAACAAATTTAAAGACTCTAAATACTTTGGACGAAATTGGTGATTTAAAGGGTGAATGACTAGTTAGAGGGTCCTTCTCCACACATGACACACATGCATACAAATCAATTTCCAATTATTCTTTCGATAAACCATGAATGACAATGCCCCAAATTAATTGTGAGAAGCACAAATTAACTTTCAGATTTTCCTAAATTCATTGAATTGGACTCAGTGACGCAACCAAATTATTCTTATCAAGTTCCCTACATGAACTGCATAATAGAGATACATATCAAAGATCATTAAGTTCTATGAGAATCATAAGCATTGACAAGACATTCGTAACTATGAACTGCATGATACTCCTGCCAAGAATTCACTTAACACAATCATGACTAGTGAGTTGTACTACTTGTGAATATAAGTTCATAACGATTAGGTGAAATTCCCTTATATTCTAGCATCAAACTCATGCATGCAAACTAAGTATGCATCCTTAATCAACACACAAGAATAGGTTATCAATCAAACAGATAAGTAAATCAATTCATATCACACATATGTTCATGACTTTGAATTCTCCTCTAACTAAAACGAAATTAGTTCCTCATGTTCGCAATTAAACAAAGACAATTAAATTTAAACATTGAAACAAAGGATAGAATACACCTAGAAACGCTTCAACAATCTAAGGGTCTTGAATGGCCAGCATGGCTCCAGGGGTCTCCTCTCCTTTCTCCTTGCAAAGCTATGGCACTAGAAGGATGTATGTATACGAGGGATGTATGGGCGATTTTATGATGAAAGGTGGGTGAATTCTGAGTGCTACAACACTATATATTTATAGGGAGAATAGAAGGCACGCCAAGGTTGTGTAGGAGGGGAATTAGGACTCCAAATCATCAAGGAATAAGGATTATTCAATATCAGATTCTAGGGAGGAAAAGGATTGGTCTTTGCTGCAGGAAACATCACTTCTAGAAGGCTAGGTGCGGCACACTTTTAGGGATAAGAGATAAGGCTTCTAGAAAGGGTTTGTGGCAGGTTTCTAGAAAGAAAGGGATAAGGGGTGCGGCACCTATCTAGAACATGTGATAGGGCTTCTAGAACCATGTTTTTAGGTGATCTAATATGCAATTAATTCCCCCTTGGAGTTGGAATTAAGGTAGGATAAGATTAGGATAATATAAGATAAGATAAGGTTAGTTTGGATAAGATAAGGTTGGATAAGGTTTTGGATAATGTTCCTTCCTTTTAGCTGATTCCTTATCTTCTTTGTCATGAATTTATTTTCTTCATCTTTTCAGCACATTCCTAGCCTCTTGAACTTTAAAAAATGTCCATCCACCTTGCTCCATGCATATGCTATCCATTCTTGGCCTAAAACTGCTCCAAAATGCTCCAAATTGCACTTTCTTGCCAAGTTTGTCATTTGGACCTACAAACACACAAAAATAGCTTAAAATACTATAATAAGTAGAAACTAGCTATGAAAATGCAAGAAAATAAGCTAACTAAGTCGCATAAATATGCTTCTATTAAATTCCCCCACACTTAGCTTTTTTTGCTAGTCCTTGAGCAAAACGAAACAAACACAACATAACCTAAACATTCCAACGTTTGCCTCAGGGATTTTCAATGAAACATGACACATTAAAAATCACTACTCACATAGATTTTAGCTATCCTTACCCTTGAACTCACACTTAATCCCAGTCACCACTCACAAGCTCGCATTTAATCAATTAAAACAATATTTTGAATGTAGTAACATGCCTTAGAGAATTCCCTCAATTCCTCACCGGATATACTCTCTATTTTCACACAGATTTTTTGACTACACTCCCTATACTAGATATATGTGAGAAGATTGATGTAAACATGTAAACTAGCCACTCACATACGTTTATAATCAAAGAAGGCACTTTATGGAATTATTAATGCATGTATATATATGATCTCATGAACGGAATGCCACTACTTAGAAGCAAGAACTAGGGATTCCATATGCTCATACCAATTTCAAATTTCACATATTGAAACACATAACAACCAAGATAAAGTCAAAGGGTTGTAATGGGGCTAAGGTATTGGCTAACAAAGAACGGTTAAGGATAAACAAAGGTTCTTAAAGCAATAGTAAGCACAAATAATGAAATTGACACTTAGAATTCACTTTCGAATGCAGCAACCAACTTTAAACACAAGGGGGAAATTCACATAACACTTAGGGCCGGATTTAAACTTTTGGACCCTTTCTTCAACAACCAATACTTGTGAGTTCATTCTCACTTATTTCTCAACTCTTTTCCTTTCTTTTTTCAACTTTTTTGTTTTTTTGTTTTTTTTCTTTCTTTTTCTACTCGTGCCCTTCCTTCCCTTTGGCACACTAAGCATACATATTTCCCATGAAAAACCTTTCCCCCACACTTGTTTTTCTACATAATGTCGATAAAAAAGAATTCCCTCTAAGTCATGCTCCACTATACTCTAAGACTAAGGGTATGGATAGTCCTATTCTAGGCTAGGTAAGGATAATGTGGCTAACAAAGAAAATAGGCTAAATAAGGCTCAAAGGGGTTAAACCTACAATAAATATGCAAGGGATTTAAGGCTTTTTGGCTCTGGTGGTAACTAAACAACTTTATCTTGTTATATGTTATGCACTCAATTTTTAAGCTTTGAATGAAACGGGCATGAGTTCTAGTATTTGGAACTATAATGATGAAAATGCATTCTAAGTAGCAACCAAGCAAAGAAATAATGAGATCATGCAACGACTTTAGAAAACAAGAAATCACAGATTAATAACTCTCCAAACAAAGTCAAGTCTCTCAGGGTTGTAGCATTAGTTTGAGTTCCTTCCTTCAAGCATGTTACAAAAACTGATTTTTTTTCCTTTGTGATTACATGTGAATTCGTTAATGACAACTACAACCAAGTATTAACCAAAGAGCTTATCAAACTTCCACCCATGTTTGTAGCTTTCTTTACCATTCATGCAATTAAAAACCAAATCCTCATCATTGTGTTGAAAGGTACCCTAAAACACAAACAAACACACAAAAATGACTTTAAAACGACTCTTTTTGGGTTTTTCAAAACTTTTTCTAATTTTTTTTTCAAATTTTTGTATTTTTCTTTCAAGTCACATTAAAACACTTCAAAACACACTAAAAACACTTAAAACATTGAAAAACAACTCTAGTGGTGCTAGGTGGTAAAATCCCACGAAAATCAATGCAAAATACTTTGTTTACCCCCCCCCCCCCACACTTGAACCAAACATTGTCCTCAATGTTTCAAACATAGACTAACACGCAAACAAGCAAACAACACAAGTAACAATCACGACAATCATGGCAAAGTAAAAGCAATAAAGAGTAGAGTTTAAGAACACAAATCTGGTTATGGAGTTGGAGCTTCCTAGGTCTTCTTTATTTGAACGCATGGGTTGCCTCCCAAGAAGGGGTACATCCTCCACAACATGCTCCTCGAAATTCTCATAGTATGGTTTCAAACGGTGGTCGTTCACTTTGAATTCATTTCCTGTCTTTAAACTTTGAATTTGGATTGCACCATAAGGAAAAACATTAGTAACAACAAAAGGACCAATCCATTTAGAACGTAACTTACCTGGAAACAATAGAAGGCGAGAGTTGAAAAGTAACATTTTCTGCCCTATAAAGAGCGTCGTGCTACGAATCATCTTGTCATGGAATGCCTTCGTTTTCTCCTTGTAAATATAA